TCTGTATTCACTTCATTTTCTTTCTTTTCTTTTTTCTGCCTCCAAGAACAAGTGACTGTCTACTTGGTGGTGTGGTCAAACTCCAGGAAAGATAGTCACATCGAGATAAACGTCAGATCTTTTTCTCCTATCTGAGAAAACGTGAATGCTAATGATACCTGTTACCATTCCTGTGGTAATGTTTAAGTCTTTAAATTGGACTTTCAGTATTTGTAAGGCCCTGTTTCTGTAAAAAATTGTGAACACACGTAGTCAGGCAACTCTTACACTTTCAGCTTTAGCATAGCTTGTGGATTTGGATTTCTGCATAAGACAGACATGACAGTGAGGAAGTGAGCGCAGACCCACAGCGCAGGCTGTGCTTTCCAGCCTGTTCTGCAAGATATTCCATATGCACTCAACTGTAATGGCTATGCAAACAAAACTGATGTCACTTTAGAAAAACACCTCCAGTGATCTGTTTGTATTTAAGTATTGAATTCTCATTATGTAATTTTTAAAGCTGTGTGTATTCCTGATACCAGAACTAAAGAGTAGTTAAAATGGCTGACATTGGTAAGAGCCAGACTGACTGTTTAAATAATGGTAGGAAAACTATTGCAGGTGGTTATCTCTATTTGTAGTTGATAAAGTTGCCTAGAATAACATCCAGCAGAGCACTATCTGCATATGGGTTTGTGACATGTTCATGTTTCTTGGAAGGCAAGAGTTTAACCCTTTATGAAGAGATCAGACTGAATATCTGGAATGACTATCATTCACTCCTGGGCATGGTCGGAAGGCAGAGGATACCTCTGGGCATGGCTATGAAACCTCCAAAGTGGGAAAACCTTGCTCTGGCTCAGGAAACAAAACTTGAATAATCATTGCATTATGATACACTGCAATATAAAATGAAGGCAATACCCCTTTTGAGTCTATAATTGACCATAGGTCATGTTTTAAAGGCATATTACACGACTAAAAGTACAGCTTTTTAAAAGGTAGCTGAATTACTCTCAGTCTCATCACTATTTACAACTAAGACAAGAAATTTAAAAAATTAGAGTCGTTCTCTACCTTTCTGAAAATTACAGATTATTTGGCTTTTTATGTTGGTGGGGTTTTTTTTCCAGAATACATGAAAAAGTTGAGATATTAACTCTTTAGCTTGAGGGTTTTTACTCTGTTGAGCAAAACCAGGCCTACAGTTGTTATTATTGGTGAAGGCTTCATCTTTCTTATTAGCAGAAGGTTGTTGTAAGACAAACATATTTTTTTATATTGAGAATTTTTTATAGAAGTATTTCTGTTAATATTTTCTTATTTTCATTTTTTAATATTGATATGTTGATACAATTCTGGAATTGAAAACAATTTTTACTGCAACTTTTGAAGCAATTTACTGCTCTACAAAATCTGTATTTTGAATTATTTGAAACTTAATAGAAATATGAGGCAGATATTCGTTACTTAACATTGAGATACTTTTGAAGTCCATAAAGCAGTGTGTCTCAAAGTGTTTTAGGGGACAATACATATTGATCATTCAAGAAATCTTTATAATGGAACAGAGATGTTCTGAGCTTCATATGTGTCCAGAGGACCTCTGAAGTGAGGAATTGCCCTAAAGAAATACAGTATGGTAATGCAAGGATGATTAGGAAAACACAACAAAAATACATTTCCTGAAATTGAAATTTCAGGTTAAATTCTGGATTTTTTCATAGCATTAATAGGCATTAAAATAGTCATTTACTAGATGGTAGGCTCTATTTTGGAGGCCTCCTATAGGGAATATTTTGCTTACTGTAGTCTTTAGTAAGGAACACCAAATTTCTCTCACATTTTAGAAGCAGGAATTAGCATTCTGTTACAGACCAAAAATTCCAAAAATTCTTTGTAAATCTGTGGTCTAGTTTCTATTTACATTAGGCTTTCTATAGTATCCATCACAAGTATGTGTCTTTAGAACAGACTTGATCCCATCTCAAACAATTTTTGCTGTATAAGGTAAAAGTATAAGGCAAAGATAAGTTTGATTTGCATCTGCATCGCAGTGTTGAGGGCCATTAAGCACAACCATAAGTTGTGCTTTTTTGAGCCCCTAGCAGCTGATGTTCATGTAAATATTGCACTTTTTCTAAGCGAACTTTGTCTTTAGGTCTTTTCTCTCTCTTCATTTACATAGCGAGGCAGAATGAATGTGTCTTACCTTGGCTACTTGGCTTAACATTTCATGCATTCAAAACTTGACTCCTTTCGGCTAACGTGTTCAGCATTTCTGCAGATCAAACGCCAGGCTTTCAAGCTGAACCCCTAAACCAAGGAGAACACATACTCAGTGGTCAAGTGAAAAGTTGTGTTCAGAATTTGAATCACGTGCCTTGGCAGAGATGAAGACAGAAAAGGAAGTTTGATAGCTGAGAATCGGACTGAATAATGGTTAGACTGCCCAACTACAGTGACAGCAATGGCGAGTGCCCTGGAGACCTCAGCCTCTCCCAGCCTTGATGTATTCTGAAACCAGATTCATTAAGTGCGTGGCCAGAGGCAGGAAATCCCACTGTGCAGCATCATACTGACAATCACAGCTTCATATGGAGCCTGTACCGACTCTGCCTCTTGAGCTAGTGGAATAATTAATTCCTTCCTCTTAGCCTCCCTCTGCACACTCACTTCTCAACAGCCCTTGATCACATCTCACTCATCTGTGCTAACTGTTTTACAAATTAACAGTCGCGGTATTTCCTTTCCCCAACTTTTTACTCAGCTAATCAAGATCTCCTTTCAAATTCAAGTCACTACATGACTCCCATCAGTAAAATTACTTCCTCTTTAACTTCATCAAGTAACATTATAGCCCAAACAGTTAAATATGACAAGGCAGTAAGAAACTGGATTCAGAGGCTTGAAACGCTGAAACATTTTCGAACCTGGATTATAGCATGCTCCCAGTCATATCAATAATAAGGAAAGAAATACAGTTAATAACATTGTCCATATCAAGCATCTGGGAGTTCAAGTCACTGCTGCACCTTTCACATCTCATGCAGATGCAATACATTGTCTGCAGTAAGATGACAGCGGTGCTAACTCTGCCATAGTTAGTGGGGAGAAGCCTGTTGACTTTACCTTGCCAAGGCATTGCATGGTATTGCAGAGCTGTCGTGGGCATTTTGAATATAAGCATCTGATAATCATGGTAACTAACTGCTTTAGAAGTACAGTGACATCCATAATGACTTGCATTTGGGGTTTCTTTCATAAAGTACCATACCTACAATCAAAGCTTTTAAACGTTAAAATAGAAAGATTATCTTCATGCAATAACTATCCAAATTAGCATTTCACATGCTACTCCACAGAATAAAAAGGAGCATGTCAGTATATACTGTAGACCAACTTGGTACAGTCTGTATCTACTCCTCTCTTTCCCAAGCTGCCTTTTTGGTGGGATCTTGACTGAGAAGTGCGGACCAGTTACTGCAGGTAGTTGAGGGAATGCTGTGTTTGTTATGTGGGAGGGACTCAGGTTAGATGCACAGCTGCTGCTGTGCAGAAGACATTAGTGGGAGCATTCACCTATGGTTAAACTGTTTCTTGTAAAGGTGCTGCAGAGCAATGGTTATGAACATGCATTGTGGTTTTGTTGTTTATCATAAAAACAAAATGTCTTCTGTCTTCTGTTGATTAATCAGCTTTATTATTAAATTAAAGTATGCCTCAATGACATTATGCAATGCTGCAAGCATGCTTTCACAGGTAGAAGGAGCAGTAAAGTGGCAGTAGCCCAGCAGTCCATCTGGACTTTCATGTTTTACATGCCAACAGGGCTAACTCATCTCAGCAGAGGGTTATGCTTAGATGTTGTTCTCATGTACAGATTTCAGATTTACATGCATATCTTTCTTGCACGCAAAGTTACTTCACACTTCTATCTTGTTCTGCAAATCTCTTCAGCAACTATGGTCTACCTGTGGATACACTTTATATCAGCATATCGCAAGAAAAGCAAAAATAGCAGGCATCAATCTTACTGTATTTAGTGAATTGACTATATCTCAATACAGGTAGTTTTGCTGTAATTTGAAATGTGTTAAAAGATTAAATTATACTGCATAACTGCTCTGTAAGGTACTGGTGTACTGATGGCCCAGCTGTGTATACCAGGATTGTTAAATTAATCAATACTGAAATAGCATCTTTCAAGGCTAATTATCTTTGCTAAGTGTGTTTATTTTAAGAAATCTAGGGAAATCGCTTAAGTGCTGGAACAGACCCCTATTAATTTTGTACTGCTGCTGTACAGAGAGCTGTACAGTAGACTTATATAGGATAGAAAACCAGTTGCGTGTGTTTGAAAGAAATATTGACTTGCTTTGTGGCTTTGTATAGTTAGTGGGATGTGCATATATCTCTTGTCTGCAACAAAATTTCCCATGAATCCAGGGAGAATTTTCCAGCAGAAGTAGGACACTTGAGCAAGGCAGGACAGAGGAATGACGTACTGCCCTTACAGACACCAGTTACACAGATGAGACAAACCACCTCCTAATGGGAGACTATGTTATCTGAATTTTATTTGTGCCGTGTTTCCTCAAAATACAGCTGCACGAGGAATAAAGATGTGATAGCTTGTTAGCAGCTTATGTCACCTATATTCTCCCACCCAAATAAATGAGCTCTAAATAATGCTAAATTAGTTACTAGTGTTTATATTGTTCAGGCAACCTATTTTTCTGCAGTAAGAAGCTGGATAGGTGTCTCAGTGGTCATACAGAGGCCTCCTCCCTAAAAATTATGCTGTTCTCTGACCTGTTCTAGGTCTCACAGTTCAGGCTAATCATTGACAGGGCTGTTACGATCACAGGCTTTTAGTGAAGCTTTGATAAGATACTCTGGCAGTTCATGGCAAATGAAGACGGTCTGCACGGTGGGGACTCCAGCAAAGGAATGGGGTTTTTTCAGCTGCAGTGCAAGAAATCTCACTTTTGACACTGGCGCTATAAACCAGCATAATGAGCAGTCAACAACTGGAGAGATTTGTTGCTTTTTGGACATTGATTTTCATAAGGATAGTTACTGGGCTTACTGGAGAGGGAAGATCTGTGTGGAAAAAGGACCCCCACTTCAGCCCCGTGAGTGAAACACAGATGTTTTTGTATGACACTTTCCCCAAAGAGTTTCTCTGGGGTGTAGGGACGGGGGCTTTCCAGGTTGAAGGCAGCTGGAGGAAGGACGGGAAAGGTGTCTCCATCTGGGACCGATTCATCCACTCGGAGTTCAGGGCTGCTGACAGCACAGATGCCTCCAGTGACAGTTACACCTTGTTGGACAAAGACTTGTCTGCTCTGGATTTTTTAGGTGTTACTTTTTACCAGTTTTCAATTTCATGGTCAAGGCTTTTTCCCACTGGAGTGGTAGCAGCTCCCAATGAAAAAGGACTCCAGTATTATAACACCCTTATTGACTCTCTACTCTACAGAAACATTGACCCTGTGGTTACGCTATACCACTGGGACCTGCCCTTAATGCTGCAGGAAAAATACGGGGGATGGAAAAACGAATCAGTAATTGATATCTTCAATGACTATGCCACCTTTTGCTTCCAGACCTTTGGGGATCGTGTTAAGTATTGGATTACAATCCACAATCCGTATTTAGTTGCTTGGCATGGGTATGGCACAGGCATTCATGCTCCTGGAGAGAAAGGGAAAATAACAACCGTCTACTCTGTAGGACACAATTTGATCAAGGTATGGTAAAGTTTTACAAACTGATCGTGCACCACCATCGGAAATGATGGGAGCAATCAATCATGTGATCAATGTTTAAAAAAAGTATCAAGGACTGTGAAAACAACAAGAAATAACCCTTAGCTGTGGCAGTCTTTTTTTAATCCTCATCTTGATTTCATTGTTGTTATCATAACAGCTGACTCAGCAATTACTTGTTTCGAAGTGCTTATTCATTATTTTATTTAAATTAAGTTTTGCCTACACGGTCTGGCTATTGAAGAGCATGATACTCCTTCTTTATTCTTTCCACTTACTGAAACACACTGACATGACCATTCATTTGGCTACACTGAAATGATTATTCTATTAGTTTAAAATGAAATTTATTTGCATATTGGATCCATCTACTTGCAATAGAGTATGTATATATGAATATGATTAATTCTAGCTTAGTAAGATTATATTGCAAAATGTTTATTGCTAAACTAGCAAGGTCAGTAGGTGTTGGGTTTGGAAGAAAACAGATGTCCTCTTATGGTTTTGAGAGTTTCAAAATTACATTATTTCCATGATGCTTTTAGCATTTTAATTTTTATGCCGGTCTTATTTATCAGCTGTCTTCTACAGAATTACACATCCTGAAGGCTTAATCCCATGATCAGTAGCTTCAACAGCTGCAGCACTGGCTCCTAAATTCATGGTACTCTTTCTTTAACAAGGACAAAAAGAGAAGTCTGAAGTGGATCTTATTTTTTAAGGAAAAAGCACAGATTTTGTTCCTGGTATTCTCAACAGTGTTACAGCATTGCAGTATTACAGCATCTTCTCTGATAGGTTATAAATTTCATCCTACAGAGTAGCTAGTTTTAGGCATAGGAGCTTATATTCTTATTTTCTCCTGCTGTAATTTAAAACATTTTCCAATAACAGCAGTTTAAGAGAAGAATTAACAATGACACCGTAGCATTTTTTTCCCATCTGTAGTGCTCAAAGTACTTTACAGAGCAGGTCACTGTCTGGTCTCTGTTTGACAGAGCAGCTAGTATAATTCCCCCTGCTCAAACTCTTCCTTGCTGTCACAAAGAGGATTTTTTCTACTACCTACTATACATTATAAATGTAATTAACAAATAAGTTTAAATGTATTTGTCCTACAGAAAGAAGTATAACATGGGAAAATACGAACTGCCAGTAGTTAAAAATATTCTGCAACTGACCATTTCTATTTCTTGCATTTGCTTCTGGGCTTGAACCTTTTACAGAAGATTCACACTGTTGTCAATAGAAGTTTTACACATAGAAAAGTCATTGAGCATCCTGAGTCACTAACTGATTTCAGAGTTAGCACATTAATGATTTAACTATAGAGACTTGTGAAGCATCTCAGAGTGAGCTGGTGCTCAATCATTCCTTTTAGTTTTCAAGTGCTATATAAAATAGATTTTATATGATACATGTAAAAAATATGACATTTGTAGCATTTCTTGCCTTCATTTCTGAGCAGGACAGTCAAATCTGGGATAACAGCTACACAGTCTCTGCGTTTTTCCACTCTGTGAAGTCCATGTAAACATCACACAGCACACAGGGAGGAATACCTCTGCTTAAGAATCAATTGGTTGTTTCAGGAAGCGAAGCACACCTGGGTCTGATATACAAATTACTGACTTAAGTTCCTTGGCCAATATTATTTAAGTCTGATTTGATCTGATGGTTGGTTCTAAAGTCTGTGAATCTGAGTATAAAATAAATCACTTCAATTAAAAAGGCAGTGAGACTTTTAGCAACACACAAGCCATTAACTAGTATTCTTGGGCAGAAATTATTTTTGCGTAGTATCTTTCTTACAGCGCCATGAACATTATCTAATGTATTAGCAGTTCTCTCCTGTAGCACTGTGAAATTTCTGAAGACCTTAAGTCTTCATGAAGAATCTCAGATTTGTAGTAATGTATTTGAGGAACTGGAGTTTGATGTTTGGGGTTGGAGGTGGAATGGAACCTCCTGAGGTACCAGTTAACATGAGTCAACTCTTATATGTTTGGGGTTTTTTTTAATTTTCTTAATAAAATACAATTAAAGCCAGTCATTCCACAGAAGTCATAGAAGGTGGTACTACATGTTTCAATCCAACTTGCTAGAATCTTTCTCAAAGATTTTTATGGGTATCTAAATGTTTAGTATTCTTGACAGTACTGTACAAATATAATGTATTGATGCACAGTCAGGATTCATGTGTTGTGACATGTATCTCCTTTGAGAGGCAGGGAATGTTATGGGAATCTCTCTTTAAAGAGACTTCATGTGGCTTTTTATTTCAGAGCTGGTATATGCAAATCTTTTTCTCAGAGATCATATTATGGCCACCTTCTAATTTACCACTGCAAACCAAAAACCTCCTTCCAAAAATGAAAGACCAGCAAAAATGTCACATTTTGGCAGTGTGAAGCAAAGCCTGTTAAAGCTGTTGAAAAAATGCCCATTTACGTCAGTGGCTTTAGGAAGAGCCACATTCTTGTCCATGTTGAGGCTTCAGTTTGGACAGGCTGTGGAAAGACAATATTCTTCATGCAACCCTATGCACACTTCCATGTCCAGCCATTAAATATGCTGGACAAGAAAAACAGGTCTGTAATGCTCAAGAAACTAATCTGACCACTACACTGTTACATAGCAAATTGACGAGTAATCTTTCTCAAGCCTTTTTGTAGTACCTTTGGATAAACTAAATGAGGCTCTCTCGCAAGTCCTACTTTTAGTTTCATTTACCATTGCACTGCTGCAGTTGTGGTGTTGGGTGAATTAATCGCCATTTATATAAAGAAGTGATTTTATGTGATATATCAATCATAAACTGAAGCTTTGTTTCACAGAATCCCAAAACCAATATAACAAACCATAAACCTCTGCTTTTTTGGACTTTGGATTATTTTGTTGTAAGAACAGTTTGAAAGTTGCTGGAGATTTTTGTGTCTCTAGAAGAGGGCTGAAGAAATTTCTCTTTAATTTTAAAATATCAATTTTAGCAGACATCTTAAAACTGAAATATTGCTATTCAAGACCCATGTAAAGAGGTATAGAAGCAAAGGCTGCTAAGCAGGGTGCTCGGGAGATCCACACGGAGAAAACAATCCACAGAAGAAGAACTCAAAATTTCAATTTAAAAAACTTACTTGCATGTTACTCTGTATGCTATTCATACATAGAGGGTATTAATTGCTACTGATCATTTTAAAGGACCTTATACTACTTCCATGGAAATTAATTCTGAAGCCTGACCCTTATCAATTATAAATTGCTAAGGGGTTCACTTAGATAAATCTGTATTTACTTGTATGATCATTACCACTAACATGGGGAACATGTGGAATCTCAGGCCAGACAGAGAGTGGCCATCAAAAGTATATCTCCTTTCTCCATTAAAGGAGACTGTACTTCATAAAAGCAACATCAGAAAACAAATATAACATGTAACTTGCCGTGCAACATTTGAAAGGCACACCAAAGAGGATATAAAAACTATGAACTTGCTCCTGAGGCAGCTGTCATACTGAGGCAAAGAAGGAAGAAACTGCATACAGAAAAGTTAGATTGATTTCTTTGATTTAACAGTAAATAAAACTGACTAGAAGCAAGAAAATATAAAGCAGATGAATCACTGTGGCTGGAGCTAAATGAGATACATGCTTGATATATTACTGCCATTTTCTCTGGATCTAGTTATGTTCTTTTATACTTAGACTGAGGTTTGTAAAGATCAGAAACTGCAGACCAAGCCATCTTCTTTTTGTCTCCTGTATCAGTGCCCTCCAGGCAGTTCTGCCTTTGCTACATAACAGGCAGAACGGGGCTCCCCCCCCATGCCCTGTTAAAGATCATTTACACTCCTTTCCATCTGGCAGGAAAGCCCAGAGGAAAACTGACAGAATAAGATCTCCCTTAAAAGTTTTCTTCATGGACACACTTTCATATCAAATACTGGGAAAAGGTGATAAATTTCCTTTCAAACATGATGTCTCCATATAGATCTGCCACAGATCAGGTTCATCTCTGTGCCCAGCTGCATTACTCCCAGCTCTTCAGTAGCTCTCACTATGCCAGGATCTCTTTGTGGATACTCCTGCCTTTGGGATCTTTGGATGAGCGTGTCCCAGAGAAGTCCTATAATTCATTCTTGTTAAAAACCAATTTCTGCTGAATGAATGGGGAATAATTTTAATCTCTGCATCCAACCAGACACTTTCTTCACAGCCTCCAAAGAGATGTTCTTTCCTCAGGATCTGGAAAGATGAAGCTGCACTGATGCCTGTATTTCTTGCAGGAGGAGGGAAATCTGTCTCCATCAAATTCCTAGGCAGAACTGTCTATGCTTTTAAAAGTCTTCGCTGGAAAAGCTTTCAAAAAGTGCTAGTAGCCATCAGTGGTGTAAAATTCAGCACTGATTCGTACATTTGTTACATGATTTGTTGTTTCAGATAATCTTTTTTACACTTCTTAGAAATTACCATTAAAACCACAATCCAAATGCAAGACAGTGGCATACAAAATATTTCTTAGGAAAGCCTCAGGCTTTTAAACCACTGTCTTAGAAATTTAGTTGCCTGCATCTCAACAGACCTTTCTTCATTCACAAGGATTGAGATTCAAAGTCAGTTTCCAAAATAAGGGCTTTAGCGCTACTGACTACGTGTCATCTTTATCACAGACCGAAAGGGCCTTGAACTGAAATGTAATCTCCAAATAAGCCGCACACACCTGCCCTTCTTTTTAGATGTTTAACACCATCTACTCAGGCTCTGTATTCTGGCTCTTCATGATTTAAAACCCCAAACAATTAAACATAAAGCCAGAATCATTTTATGAGCATTTTCATAACTCTGTTTTTCCTAAATGTTCTCACTCCCAACACACTTAAATAACTCCGTGTACCCCTGACATTGTTTTGTGTGCTCATTGCTGAGACATTCAAGGAAAATTGCTTGACTTTAACATATCTTAAGAATTGGAAAATACTGGTCTTTTCAGTAGCAAGCTCTTTGCGTACATACATGATAAATTACGGGATCAGAGTTTGAAGGAGTGTAAGAATATTTCAAGAAGAGAACAATACTGTTGCCTTGATCTTATTAAATTTACTTATCTAACCTTTTTACAGGGCTAATAGTAACCAACTCACCACTCTCTGACTTTCAAGTCTATGGAATAATTTCTATATTAATAGCAGGAAAATATGCTGAAATTAATGTCATATGTATCTAGAGTAAATACACAATATTGATCCTGCTTTCACTGTGTACTTAGCCTTGACATTTGTCCTTGATCTAACAATGAAAGTGAAAGATTAGGGATTAAACTCTAACTGAAAACGGATTAGTCAAGATTTACTCAAAATAACCAATTTGATGTATGATACAGCTTTTAAATTGATGTTTGTTTCATATGTGGTCTTACAAAACAAATTATATTAATCAGCTGGTTCTATCAACCATAGTTTGCACTTAGCAAACACCTTCCATCTGAGAATGTTAAGCTGCCTTGCAGATTCTGTAACTCAAAACAGAATTCTAGTCAAGCACATGCTTTTGTCTCTACTTTGTCTGTACAAACCCTTACTATAGACAAAGTGACAATTTTTTTTCAGTACTTAACCCTCAGAATTAAGAGACATTAGTGACACAGATGAATTTGTGTATGGGGATCCTATCTTGGCTCATATTAAATGCATTTATTTGTACTTGAGATCTATTACTGTAGTATTATACCTGTGGCTGTATTCTCTACTGTAGACAATATTTTTAATAGTAACTTTATTTTCTTCTAATCAACCTCCTAAAGATGCCTGCAAATACAGTGAGTTGTCCCTGTTTGTGTCTTATGTGTCAATGTTGCATTCTAATTAGTTGGGTTTGGTGAAGTTATCTTTCTCCACTTCACCTAGAAATGTGTGATTACTAAGATCTACCTGGTGCTATTGTCATGCTACTTGCACTGTGCATGATACAGCTGACTTCAGCAGGGTTTTTCTTGTTAAGCCAATGCAGCCATATAACTTTGATTCAACAGTGCTGTTGGTAGCCTGTGTCTGAGGGGATAAATAATATAAACCAGATGAGAAATCACTAGAGCAAGCCTGTTCCCAGCAGCCACGCCAGGCTGGAGGGACCTTTGGGAGAGGATAGTGAGGGTAACAGGAGATGGCACTGGCCACTTAAGTTTTCTGATGAGACTGGTAAGAAATAAATCAATTTTGTAATATTTTGAATGTATCTTGCATTTTTCCCCATGAGTACAATTTTGCTGACTTCCCTTTTCAGCTACAGAACCTGCATTTCAAAGGTTAATGTCACTTTATCAGTATTTTCAAAGACAGACCTTGAACAAATGTTACAAGCATGACCTTAGAAACCATAAACAACTGATATACAAAATTTCACAAACTGTAATTCTTTGGTACTCCCCAGCTTAGCCAAATATCTACCTGACATCAGGTCTTTTGTTTTTTCAAACTGTCAAGGCTGTGTGTTTCTAGATAAATTGACTACAATTATTGTCAAAGGTAAGCAATGCTGTTTGGCTTGGTAATGATGGCAGCCTAACTCGGCACTCTGAGTGTTTCACAATGCTTCTGAATGCTTCTTCTGGGTGCAAACAGTTATTTTCTTTCCAGTTTAAGAGTATAAAGCCACACTTCGGGAATAAGGTAAACCCTGAGTTACTTGACAACTCCTTAACTGGGAGAGGTCAGCTCCCCTCCCCTCCTCCAGACCCCTGGCGTGATTCATGATGAGATCCAGAATCACTCTCCTCTGACACCATAGCTCTCCCATTTTTCAATGGGATTTTGACAATAGTAGTGGTTCCTCAGTATCCCAGGTATTCCTTTGTCTGTGTAAATTTTGACTGCTGTAGTCTCTTACGTAATTAACAACATGACATTTGAAGGTAATTCTGGTGTGTGACAATGTTAAGCTTTCTCAAACATGATAATCAGAAAAATGGAAGAGAGATGTGTTACAAGGTACATTTTCATTGTCACTAACATGAATAGTAAAACTTCTGTCTGTCCTAGTGCAGTCAATATTTGGCTAACTATGAGTACTAAAATAGGCCATACCCAATAGATCTTATGAAATACTGCTGCCAGATTTCCCTATAAAACCAAAGTGTTGTTGCTCTTTACTTAATAATCTTCATTCTGCGTTGTTGCATGTACTGTCAGAAGTATTATAGCAGCTTCAGAGGAGAAATGAACTAAAATCCTGGATCAAAGTTCTCAGAACTGTGAAACTTGACATTTGGGTTCAAACTTCGCAGTTGGGTCCTCTCTCCACGTTTTTGCATTTAGGGACTGTGCAAATGTCAAAAGTTGACTTACTCATATGATTATCCTAAGAAGAGGGATGGGGTGGACGTGGTTTGATCAGAGTAAATCCAAGTAACCCCCATAGCACAGAGCAGTGAATAGAACAGAGCCAACACTGACAAAAGAAACATCATTTGAGATGCGTAATTTATGGAGCAGTTGTAAAAATGGTTTAAGGTTTTAACTGTATCAGCAATCACTGTTTGACAAAGAAAGATCTAGATGGGACTGTCTAGATCACACGAGTTCAAATCCCACCATTAACAGCCGTTTATTCCCAAAGTGTCTGTGTAACAGCTGTTTATTCCCAAAGTGTCTGTGTAACAGCTGTTCACAGCCCTGCTGGGACATCTCATGAAATTTAGACCCATGTTAAAAGGCAAGAAGCCCTCATGTGTCATAGGAACAGCGCACATGAGATACTGAGCATTGCATCATCTTGATGTATGTTGCAGTGTAACAGTAATTGCCCATTACAGCTGTGCAGGGTAATTAGCGTGCCTTAGCTGTTAATATTTCCACAGCAATCTGCAGTGAATCAGATGCAGCTCCCTGCCTGTCTGGCTGCCAGCACACACAGAGATCTATCAGAGTGTTACAATTTAATGCTGTTGTTTTCTTCTCTCATCAGGCTCATGCAAAAGTTTGGCATAACTACAAAAACCACTTTCAACCATATCAGAAGGGGATGATGTCCATAGTGCTAGGATCCCACTGGATTGAACCTAACAAATCGGAAGATGCTTTGGACATTGCTAAATGTCAGCAGTCTATGGAGAGAGTTCTCGGGTGGTTTGCTAAGCCCATCCATGGGGATGGCGATTATCCAGAAGAACTGAAAAATGAATTCTCGTTTTTGCCACGCTTTACTGAGGATGAAAAAAACTACATAAAGGGAACAGCTGACTTCTTTGCATTTTCCTTTGGCCCTAGTAACTTTAAACCTCCAAACACTCTACCAAAAATGGGACAAAATTTGTCACTCAATTTGAGGGAAGTACTGAACTGGATTAAACTGGAATACAACAGCCCCCGAATCTTGATTGCAGAGAATGGCTGGTTCACTGATAGCCATGTGAAGACAGATGACACCACAGCCATCTACATGATGAAAAACTTCATTAATAAGGTTTTACAAGGTTTGTACACAAGTTAGTTGTTGGGTTTTCGGAGAGCTTTTTAGGATCATTTGATATTTAGCTCTGTAATTATTTAATTTTTTTTAATGGATAATAGCAATTAAGTTAGTTAATTATTAATTGTTTATACTGCAGGAGTACAAATCATGATCAGGATCTGCTGGTGCAAGGTGTTGTACAAACAAAGAAAAAACCCCATACTCCCTGTCCCAGAAAGCTAAAGTCCAACATCTCTGTTGGATGTTAAAACTAAATAAGTACAAAACTGAGTCAGAAATTAATGAAAACAGATCTATTGAATATCACTTTGCAGTGCTGGCAGCTCAACTGTAAAACCTTTGTGCACGTACATACCTTGACAGCAGGAAAATGAGACAGTGACAACAGTCATTGCCATGCTGGGGTCCCACTCCAGTGTAAAATGCATGAAGGAAATCAGCAGGAGAAGGGCAACCATTCTTCTGGAGTAACACACTTTCAATCTTGGTATTTGCTCTTCATAAAGCCAGTGTACCGAGGTGCCCTCTGAAGGCAAAAGATTTGATTTTGTATTAAATATAAACACTGTTAGTACCTAACACCTCAGCAAAACCAGTATTCCTTTTCCCCCTGCTCCAGTGTGGTGATTCAGTGCTGGCAGAGGGACGGGTGCTGGTCCCCAGAGCCATCCTCCGAACAGGCTAATGCCACACTGCTGGTGCCACACTGCTGTGATGAGATGGTTCAGATCCCTTTTCAGAAACCTTTCTTATCCTCAGAAAAGAGAAAACACAAGTAATGGTTTACTCTGACACCAAGTTAGGAAGTTGTGTATCACCAACAAATGTAATTAAGCCCCAGATGAAGATTATCCTAAAGTTGATTCAAATTGTAAGCTTCACACAGCACAACTGTGTGATATGTTCTGCCCTTTCAGATTTTGAGGGGGTTACATTCCAGTAATTGATCTGTGATATTTTCAATACTGCAGTGATGCAGCAGGAAAGTCTAGATGCGGGCCTGTATTTGAAGGTGTGGAACAGGTAGGTATCTGGACACATACATAAGAAAACCCATAGTTTGTTCTTTTCTGAATCCTCTACAGCAGACCTGGCTGTAATAACCATCCACAGATTCACACTTCTGAAATGCTTGGTCAATGTTCAACCATTGACTGCTTCTCAAGAATTGTATTTTTACATATGCAGATAGAATCATAGAATCATAGAATCCTAGAATGGTT